TCTCATCTGCACTGACCACCAGCTGCCCGGACGCCTGCCCACTTCTACCTACTCTGAGGATCCAAATTTTTGAACTAGAAAGGAAAGAATTAGCCCCACCCACCAGCGAACACATGATATCCTGAAGGCTCTAGAATCTGACAAACCTCCCCTCTCAGCTCTGCTTGCTGTGTAGCCTCAGACAAGCTGCTTAGCTTCTCTGAGCCTCATTTCCCCACCATTCCTGACTCCAGTTCCCCACTGATACCATGCGACTGATGTAGGAATTCTGGGAGGCCAAGGAGCAGACCCAGAGGGAGGCCCTCCGTGCTCAGGACCCACAGACCCCAGCTCATCCCAAGCCCCACAGAGCCTCTCTGATCCTACCCACTTCACCCCAGTCTGCTGTCACTCTCCCTTCCTCCCCCGGCATGCCTCTACCCAACTCCCAGCTCAGGTCCCCACTCTCCTCAGCTCAAGTGCCACCTCCTCCAGGCAGCCTTCCAGGTGGCTTCGCACCCTGGAACTCCCAGCCTTCATACACTGCAGTCCTTTTCCACCCACACAGCTCACTCTACTCCATCTTTGGCAGCCCAGGGCCTACCCTGAGGTCTGGCCCTACTCCTGCTGAGTGACAGGATGCCACACAGGAGTTTGAATCCCCACCTGCTGAGCTGGGGCAGGTTAGCTCTTGCTCTGAGCCTGGGCTGGATCCCTGAAAATGCAGATCAGAGTCCCACCAGCCTCTGAGGGGTCCCCCCCCACCGCCCTCAAGGCCCCAGGCCCAGGGAGCTCCTCTGGCCCCCGCCTGCACCCGTCCAGCCTACCCACTGCGGAGAGGTAGCCGGCGGCCGGCAAGCCTCAGCAAACACATTTAAATCTGAAGTGACAGATAAAGCGATTTACGGCGACAGTTTAGCGTCAGATCACTTCCCACAAGGCAGCCGTGTCCCTCGGCCCCCCCGTCTGCTAGTCCATCAAGGCGGTCTCTAAATCACTGGCTCTGAGCTGCCTGCTCGGCCCAGGCCCACGAGGGGACGGCCCTCCCGGCCCAGTGGGTTCGGCTGTGGGGATGGGGGAGGGAGGTAAGCAGCCGGCGGGTGTCCACAAATCAAAGCCCAGGACTTAAGGAACCGGAGCCACTTCATGCCTTATTTTAAATAAATAAGCGGCTTAAAAAACTCCCAGTGAAGCAGCTCATGGCTGCGCAACACAGCCTCCCGCTGGCTCTGCTCAGCCAGCCCCCATGCCCGGCCCCCCAAAGGCCCCGCTGACCTCACTCACCTCCCGACACCTCCTTGCAGAATTAATTGGTCCCTGTGCTGTTGCGGGGACTTTGTTCAGGCCTCGCTCCGAGCACTTTGTCGCATCCTATTCTACTTCACGGCTCTTGCTCTTGACTTCCCGTAATAACGGGCCCCTGGGTGCCAGGCCCCAGCCCAGGGGGACGGGCCTGAGCCCACGCTGGGCTGCGGGTAGAGAGCCGGGGTTCAGATGAGGAGTGGGAGGATGGGGACCCCCGGCTGGGGGCTTGCTGAGCCGCAGGGAAGCCGCGGGGACGCCAGGCTGCCAGGCTGCGACGGCTCCTGGGCTCTGTGCCCACGCCCCCGACTCCATGACCTAGGCGGGCTTAAGTGGAAGACTCTTTCCATCTTGGCACAAAGCACCGTTCATCCCTGTCATGTTCCGTTTGCTCTGAAGGCTAAGCAGGTTGCTGGATCCCTGGGCTGGCCCAGAAGGGGGGCTCATTTTTGTAGACAGACGTTTCCCACCTAAACTCCAGCTGCCTAACTGGAACTAGGGGCCCAGAGGCACAGGCGTGGGGAGCTGAGAACCCCGAGGGCGCAGAAGTGACCCAGTCAAGGTCCCGGCTTGCCGGCGAGAAGATGAAAACCCTCCAAAGTCAAGCGCCCCCTCGGTGGGGCCCCCAGACTGGTGCTTTCTCTGCAGGAGAGGCCAGGTCTGCTCCCCTCGTTCTCCCCAAGATACAGCCTGGGGGTCACAGGCCAAACTAGAGAGACAGGCACTGCCCCCAAGCATCGCCATCTCCGGAAGGGGCCCGCGGGGGTGCCCAGGCTTATCTTGCCAGCGTGGCAGCCCAATTTAATTAAGATGGATGCGGTGTGCCCCCGTGGGCAGGAGCCGTGGCCGCCACAGATGGCAGGAGCCTGAGACTCTCCGGGCGCTGCCCAAGCAAGTGGCCTCACTGAGGGGCAGGCCGAGGGCGGACAGGAAACCTGCACTGCACCAGAGCCCCCACCAGCCGGCACCCCCTTCTGCTGTCGGCCCCTCACACCATGGAACACACATATACACACCATCACACTATCACACACATGCACACACAGGCACACAGGCACACCGCACGCCCATCACACACTCAACATCTCACACCTCACACACATAGACCATCTCACACATCACACGCATCATACACATTACACACACACACACACACCGTCACAGACAGACAGACACACACACACCCCGTCACAGTCACACACAGTCCGGCTGTGAGGACGGAGGGGGCAGGAGGGCAGCAGTCCCGCCCTCTCAAGGATCCCCAGGGTCCTCCTTGGGGCCAGAAAGGGCGCCTCAGTCTGGATGGTGACCCCCCCCAAGCCCGCAGGACTTCAGGATGCAGGAGGTCTGGGGGTTCAGCCCCCTTTGTCTCCCAACCCCTTCCAGCTCCCCTTCAGCCCCCCCCCCCAGTCCCAGCAGCCAGAAAGAACCTTCCAGACCCTGCCCCCATCGTGCCACAGGGACAAAAAGGGAGCGCCCCCAAATCTCGGGGGTTACCTAGATTTGGGGGTTATCTCAAGACCCAAGCTCAGACCCAGCCCACCACGGTACTGGGGACCACTGGCCCTGGCGTCAAAACTGAAAATGGAAGCTCCCCTCCCCCATAATTGCTCGCTCCTTCCGCCCATTGTGGAGGCTCCCTGGTCTGCACCGAGAAGCAATTATTCACGGCTAATGATTATAATCAAGTCAAATAGAATTTAATGGACACGTATTCTCTTCCTGCTTGAAACTTTACATATGAATTAAGCACATATGGGTTTCACGATGCACGCACCACATTTACGCAGCCTCCAACAGCCCCGCGCCGGCTGCGACTTTGATTCTGCTAATAAACAGATTGATTTAGGGGCTCGGCCGCGCGCGGACCGCAATCTCTGCTGCCCCCTGGCGGGCGGCGGCAGGAGTGGGCCCTGGGGACGGGGAGCCCAGCGCAGGGCCTGCCTGCCCCGGCCTAGGCGCAAGCCCAGCTAGGAGCGGGGTGCCCCCCCCCAGGCAGCCCCTCTCCTGAGAGGGTGAGAGGCTGGAGTCAGGCAGCGGGAAGACTCGGAAATGTCTTGCTTATTTGAGCTTGTGACCAAGCATCCCCTCCCACACCTGGGCATCTGGCCCGTCTTCGCTTTGTATCTTTCACACCGTGAATTTCTTTCACAAGCTCAAAAAAAAAAAAAATTAAGAAAAAAAGTTTAAAGGCTGAGTATGCTGGATGATGGAGTGCGTCTGACCCCCCCCAAGCCAGATGCCCAGGCAGGTACCTGGGGGAGCCCCCAGGGAGGGGTGCCCCAGGCCCCAGGGAAGCCCCCCCAGGGTGCCAAGGGCTGACAGCACTGCCCCCCACAGGCACTGAGGAAGACCCGTTCACCACGCCCAGGCCACCAGAGTCCCCACTCCACCCTGCGTCCCCCGGCGCCCTGAGCTGGTGCCCACGTTGCAGCCACCCCGCACCTGGATGGAAAGGAGTCCACACGACGCCCACGTTCCCCTCGTCACCTGACAGCTGAGCAAAAAGAGCAGCAGGAGGCGACCCCCACCCTCAATAAGGACTGGCAAGGCAGGGGCAGGCCAGCCCCCCCACAGCCCCTCCGGCGCCCTCCTCCCAGGGCTGCTGCTGGTGCCTGCTGCCTCCCGAGGACCCATGGCTGCCCTGCGCCATGACCCCGAAGCGCCAGCAGAGCCCTGAGGTGATCACGCTCCTCTGCAGGAGCCAGAATCCTGTCTTCCGGCCACTGGCCCCCTGTGGGGACGGGACACGCATGTGACTCCAAACCCAGCCAAGCAAGGTCACTGCCGGAAATGCAACCCAGACCACAAAAACAGGCCCGCGGAGCAGCAGCCTCGCCCGCTCGAGAGCCCAGTCCCTTGACAGGACCAGCAGGATGCTGACAGACGGCCTGGACACCCCAGCTCCCAGCAGGCGCTGCCCGGCGACTCCTCCCCCTCACCAGACACCTGAGGGCAAGCCCAAGGTTGAGACCTGGAGAGCTGAGTTCCTCCAGGGAGTGTCTGAGCTGTGCGGTGCAGAGGGGGCTGGCAGTGGGGGTTTCTTGGGGACCCAAAACCCCAGACAGGGGTCTTCCCAGGTCTCCAAATTTTTTCACCTCCCTGTGACGCCTGCGAGACTCACACCCACCGGCCAACCTGACCGGACAAGACAACCCCACCTGGGAGGAGAGCAGCGCCTCCCTCCCTCTCTCCCTCCTGGGGGGGGGGGGCAGGTTTCTCAACTCATCACAATCACCTGCCAAGTCAGCACGAGCCATCGCTGCGGGAAGCCGAGCCTGGGGCATAGGGGCCTCTGCCCCCCACTTCCCCACTTCAAGCTGCCACACCTGCTCCAGGTCTCAAGGGTGCCAGGGTAGGCAGGAACCCAAGGAAGGAACTCGGGGAGTCAGGGACATCTCTGGCCCCCGAGATCGATCAACCACCTGGCTTTGACCTCTGCCTCCCGGCAGGGCGGCGGGCACAGTTCCAGCCACGCTCTCTCCCTTCCGGCCGCTAATGGGTCTCAGCGCTCCGGGGCGGCTGGGCCAAGGGCCTCTGACACAGGGTCTCAAGGAGAGTGGAGCCCTGGCGGCTACTCCTGCTGCCAGCAGGCCCCCCACATCCGGCCACAAGAGCCTCCGGGAGCCAGGCAGCGCCCGCCGCACCTGGCCTGGCAGCCCACGCAAAGGCGACAGTCAGGAGGGGCCGTGAGGTCTCCGGCCCCAGGCCCCACTCACCGGCGTTGACGATGGCGTCCACCTCTAATTTCGTGATGTCCCCTCGGAACAGGGAGAGCTTCTCGTTGAGTTGCTTGTCCTTCTTGTACTTGGGCTCCTCCACCTTCACGGTCACCCCTGGAGTGAGCAGAGGGGTGGTGGGGTCACAGAGAGGCGTGCAGGCTAGGTGTGCCCCCACCACCTCCCTGCACCTCTGGAAATAGCCTGACCGATGACACAGGTCATGACAGCCCGCACGGATAAAGCACCTCCCCCCCCCCCCGCACAGTGGGCTCTTGAGTCTTTGGCACACTGGACACGGCCAGCGTGCCCACGTCAGCCCCGCCGCTTTACTGAGCCGGGGGGTGACTTGCCAGGCTGCCGGTCACCGGGCCTGCAAAGTGCTCGCCCCACCTGGGGCCACCTCACACAGCTCCAAGTGCATAGTGGGGAGACCATGGGAACCTGTCCCAGGGGCTAACAGTTAAATAAGGTGAGGGGTGCAAAGCACCCCCACTCAGCGAGCTGCAACCACGCTCCTCGGCCTGTGGACACAGAGCAGGGCCCACCTTTCGCCGTCTCCTTCCACGTGGGGATTTTCTTCAGTCTGACGAAGTCCCGGCAGAAGTAATGTTCCTCCCGCTGCTTGTCACTCAGGCCCTTCAGAAACGCTGCAGGGCGGGTGAGACAGCAAGGAGTCAGGAGGGCAGGGAGAGGAGCAGCCGGGGGCCTCCCCACCCCG